ATTACGGTCAAACTGGTAAAAATCTCGAACTAAGATTAAAACAACATAAATATAGCATTAGAACTGGACAAGATTCCAATGCTCTATTTATTCATGTAAGAGATTTTAACCATCCAATTGATTTTCAAAAAGTTGAGAAAGTAGTATCAAGCAAGTCCATGGTCGACAGGAATATAATTGAATCTTGTTTCATAAAAAGCAGTTTTGACAATAATATGAATATTTCCTTTGGTTTATATAAATTAGATCCATTTATAATTAATAGAATTTGGGAAGAATTTAATAATACACTGGACAAATAATTTTTAAATTTTCTTGGGTAGAATAGTTTGTGGGGTGAGTTGTGCAAGGGACCTATCCAAGTTGGGTCGGCGCGCGTCAGGTGTTTAACCGTTGTGGGATCTGATAGTGAGGTGTTGGCCAGACCCCTTATATAGCTTCCTTGTATGCTTTACTTTCATAGTTCCTTGATAATGTGAGTAGTCACGAAAGCGCTTGGAATTTCTCTATTCTTTCAGAGTGGTTGTTTTGCATATTCTGAAATCACCTGTTTACTGTGATCTTATTGCATATATATATATATATATATATATATATATATATATATATATATATATATATATATATATATATATATATATATATAATATATATATATATATATATATATATATATATATATATACATATATATATATATATATATATATATATATATATATATATATATATATATATATATATATACATATATATATATATATACATATATATATATATATATATATATATATATATATATATATATTATATATATATATATATATATATATATATATATATATATATATATATATATATAATCTTTGTACATATAACATTACTAAGCACTTACTGTGAAATGAGTGTTATGGTAAGATATCAAGTCAATATTCATGTTAGATGTGAGATGATGAGAGGTGTAAGTTTTGTAGTGTGTGTTATATCTCTGAAACTGTCTGCCCCTCAGTTTTATGTTGAGTAATTGACTGCAATTTATTCCAATGATGAGTCGGACATCAGTTTGTAGGAATAACTTCTGAGGGATGATGGGGTGTGTTTTTTTCTTTGATTATAGGGATTTTTATGTGGTTATACAGCGTCAGGTTAGCGCGAAGTAGGTACCCTGACCGGGGATCGAACTCTGGTGCCTCCGGTTGTCAGCCTGTTGTTCTGTTGTAGAACTAGCAGTCACTTCTTCAGAGGAGATTTACTCTCCATTTTTACTCAAGATCGTTAAACCCGTAAGGATCATACAGCGCCTGGGAAGGATGGGAGATAATTAGGTTTGATCCGAGTAAGAGGAGAGTGTTTCCAATATCTTCGATCTAATTCCCTAACAAGCACCGAGCCATAGTTATATTTTAATAATGATATTAGTGATGTTATACAAAAGTGTGAAAAATGTGTGTGTGTGTATGTGTGTGCTCATCTAAGTGTGGTTGTTAGGTAAGACACATATGCAACTTTAAGGGTGATGGACTGATTACATCGTCTTCAAGTATCTTCTGCTTCTATCAACTTTTCTGTACTCGACTGAAGAAGCCTACTGTGTAGGCGAAACGTTTCGAAATAAAGATACCTAACTGTTGCATATGTGTCTTACCTAACAATCTGTCGGTATTTTATACCATTTTAATGTTCATTCTGTCAGACACTGCAACACAAGGGTATCTTGGTACAGACCATCTACTTCGACAACCTCTACTAGTGAGAACGGCTGGGTTTGAGAGGGACCTGCCCTCCCAAAGCAACCTACGTCTCACCTCCTGGCACTATATAAGGCCCCATTCTGTCACTTCAACTTCATATTGTTTCAGACAACGGAACAATGCTCTTCTCCAGACTGAGGGACTGACCACCTCAAAACTTTAAGGGTGATGGACTGATTACATCGTCTTCAAGTATCTTCTGCTTCTATCAACTTTTCTGTACTCGACTGAAGAAGCCTACTGTGTAGGCGAAACGTTTCGAAATAAAGATACCTAACTGTTGCATATGTGTTTTACCTAACAATCTGTCGGTATTTTATACCATTATAAGTGTGGTTGCAGGGGTCGATTCACAGCTCCTGGCCCCGCCTCTTCACTGGTCGCTACAAGGCCCACTCTCCCTGCTCCACGAGCTTTATCATACGTGTGTGTGTGTGTGGGGGGGGGGTACTCAGGGTTTCCTGTGAGTGTGAGGGAGCTGCCTGCCTCCCCTGTAGCCTGCAGTGCATCACCAGCAGGCAACGATCAACCACAAAATAAGTTAGTTCCATCCTATCGTTACGCTGTATAAGGATCGTCATCAACACTACTTGTAATGCAAATTCCTCGTTCTTAATTCAACTTACAACTTGTACGTGTTTACAAAGGTATATAATTTTTTTCTTGATGTAATGCCCAGAATGCAAGGTGTCTGTATGACCACTGTCAACAAAATAAAGTTCATCAATGTTTCGATACAGCTGATCAAAAGCAATAATACAAATTTCTTTTAATCAGTTTACACTGTACGGTTTACAAAGTAATAATGTCTTGGTTTGATTAAAAATGTGCCAGTGCTAAGTGTGTTTATGCCCACTTTCCAAAATTACATAAGAGCTTGGCAAGCCGGCTCTGAAAAGAAAAACATTTATACAGTTACCCGAAAGTAAATCAAATGTGATAAAATGTGTGTGTGTGTAAGTGTATCAAAGTTATATCAAAGATGACAAGGGTTATAGAAAGGTGTACTCAAAGTGATATCAAAGGTGTATCAAAGGTTATCAAAGGTGTATCAAAGGTATATCAAAGGTGTATCAAAGGTATATCAAAGGTGTATCAAAGGTATATCAAAGGTGTATCAAAGGTATATCAAAGGTGTATCAAAGGTATATCAAAGGTGTATCAAAGGTATATCAAAGGTGTATCAAAGGTATATCAAAGGTGTATCAAAGGTGTATCAAAGGTGTATCAAAGGTATATCAAAGGTGTATCAAAGGTATACAAAGGATAAGGTATATGAAAGTGTAAAGAATAAGTGTATCAAAGTATATAAAGGTATAAAGGTGTATAAATATATAAAGAATACTGTAAACTATATTAAAAATTATTAGTATCATATTTAATATATTATATATATATATATATATAATAATATATATATATATATATATATATAATATATTATATATATATATATATATATATATATATATATATATATATATATATATATATATATATATATATATATATATATATATATATATATATATATAATATATATATATATATATATATATATTGAAAATGGCAGGGTTTTGGTGGGGAGGGGGGAAGAAATAGACTAATTTTACGATAGACTGAGAGGTTTGAGTTAGCTAATGGAACTCTAATTTAGACTCACAGGTAAAATCTTATTCGGTTGCACAGTCAATTTAGATCAATTTAGTTCAACTTGTGAGAGAAAAAATGAGCGAGAAGAGTCCACGATGGCTTGATTATTATGATTATTATTAATTATTATTATTTACATAATTATGTGAGGGGGTTCAACAGCGCAGTTTACATTAAACTAGAAAGTTTTTTCTTACTGGTGTGTTTTTGCACAAGACTTGTGGTTGTGGGTGTGGTTGTGGGTGTGGTTGTGGGTGTGGTTGTGGGTGTGGTTGTGGTCGTGGGTGGTGTGGTTGTGGGTGGTGTGGTTGTGGGTGGTGTGGTTTTGGGTGTGGTTGTGGGTGGTGTGGTTGTGGGTGGTGTGGTTGTGGTGTGGTTGTGGGTGGTGTGGTTGTGGGTGGTGTGGTTGTGGGTGGTGTGGTTGTGGGTGGTGTGGTTGTGGGTGGTGTGGTTGTGGGTGGTGTGGTTGTAGGTGGTTGTGGGTGTGGTTGTAGGTGGTGTGGTTGTAGATGGCGTAGTGGTACCTGGCATGGTGGTACTTAGCATAGTGGTACCTGGCATAGTGGTACATGGTGTAGTGGTACCTGGCATAGTGATACATGGTGTAGTAGTACCTGGCATAGTTGTACCTGGCGTAATGGTACATGGCAGAGTAGTACGTGTCAGTGGTACCTGGTGTAGTGGTACCTGGCATAGTGATACCTGGCTTAGTGGTACATAGCATAGCTGTACCTGGCATAATGGTACCTGATGTAGTGGTACCTACTATTAAGTCTTCAACATGTACACAATAATAACGTTCTCTCAGACATCTATTTTCTTCCTACCAATGGAAGAAGGTGCAGAAGAGGTAAATACAAACTTTACTGTTTACCAGACCTTGGATCCCCTGGCTTGTGTTCTGCCAGCCCAGTCAGGGTTAGTCACGGTCTTCCATGCTTATTTAGCTATATTAGGGCCTTTGCGATATTCAGGGTTTTCCTTATTTACCAATATTCAGGGTCTTTCCTTCTTATTTAGCGATATTTAGGGCCTTATTTAGCGATATCCTATTTTTTCCTATTTTCGTATTTTATTTCAAGGTAATATTTAGGCTGCTAGTAAGAATAGTCCAATAAAAAGAGTCAAAAAGCCACAAATTGGAAATACAACCTGGACGACGTCTCGGTCTATTATCAAATCACTTGAAAATGGTCCAGAAGGAATCGAAATGTCTAGTTTCGTCACAGTTTTAGCAGTTTAATCATTTTACTGGGATGTTCACAAGGCAGGTCCTTGTATATAGGGCAGGTCCTTGTATACAAGGCAGGTCTTTATGAATACAAGGCAGGTATACAGATCAATCAACCACAGGAGGCTGATTGCTGATTGCTTTGTATATTTCAACCCCCTTCTGGAATCCTTTTCAGATCTGCTGAAGAGGATCCCAGAAGGGAGTCGAAATATACACATCATCATCATTCATCATTAAGTAACAACAATAATAATCTTTATAACTTTAAGTACATGATACAGCTTATACATTTACGGCATTGTGGCTGAAGGCCAGAGTTTTTTGTTGCGATTTTCTGTTACTGACTCCATTATCCTCCTCAGGTGACGACAGATGTGAACAACGAGCTGCGGTGTGATGTGTGCGGGCGAGAGTTCGACCGCCGGTCAAGGCTGGACGCTCACTACAAGACCCACACGGGTGAGAGGCCTTTCTCCTGTCCGTTCTGCGGCAAGAGCTTCGCCTCGAAAGGCAACTGCAACACCCACATGCGCGTTCACACCCGTGAGCGACCTTATCAGTGTCCACATTGCGAGAAGCGGTTCTCCCAACACGGCCAACTCGTTATACACATACGGCGACACACGGGAGAGAAGCCGTACGTGTGTACACATTGCAATAAAGGTTTCACCTGCTCCAAAGTGCTGAAAATTCACGTGAGGACGCATACGGGTGAGAAGCCTTTCCAGTGCGAGCACTGTCAGAAGGGATTTGCTGCTTATGCTAATCTAGTCGTCCATCGAAGGATACACACGCGGGAGCGGCCGTATGCGTGTCACTTGTGTGGCCGAGCCTTTGAACACTCTGGTAACCTGAGCCGCCACGTCCGGGTTCACAGAGTTGATAGCGGCGTCCGCTGCATCCCGTGTGGCCAAGTTTTTTCCTGTGATAAGGACCTCGTCAACCACACGGCGCAGCATCATCCTAACGAATACGCTCGCGAGGACGAGGCCGACTTGGAGGCTTCGCTGGTTTCCGAACCCTCCACCATCAACCTAAAAGATTTAGAGCAGTTCCAGCCTCCAACAGGTTTTCATTGTGGTTTACCCCCGCCAAGTGAACCGCAGCTTACTATTCTGACACCTTTGGAGCCGGCAGCTGCTATCGAAACCGTCCCTACGGCACCGCCCCCAGAAGCCGAAGAAGAGCCGGCGCTAACTGGGACTTGCATCGTTGTGAGCGACTCCGAGGACTCTGGTCGTGAGTCAGGAGGTAGCACAGGCTATGTTACGTCTCCTGATCAGGTCTTCGACCGAGGAACTCACCAGTCACCGGAAACCAACACGAAAGCGGACGAGACAGCAGTAACCATCGCAGAATCTACAGTACCAGTGCGATTGTCTTCCCCAGTGTCCCAGCAGGAGGCATTAAGAGAAACGAACACACAGATGACTTACGAAACACCAACACCAGCCCCAGTCTTCAGAATGCCCCCAAAGAAACAACAGTACCCGGGAGGGGGTCGATCTACGTTGAGTGTCCTGAGAGCAGCGCTCTCGTCTCAGCGGCTTCAAGCACCCACTCCAGGTTCCCTGGTAGTAAGTCAACCGGCACCACAGCAACTGTCAACTATTTCCTCCCCATCTATCACACTTCCATCCGAGCCTATCTTCCAGCCCGAGACCAGTGGACCCAACTCTCCGCACTTGAACATCCATCAGCTATCTCTTGGCCACCATACTGGACCTGGTAGCCATATATCCCCAGCGGGTCTGGGAACTGGACCTTTCCTCCGGCCATACCCATGCAACCATCCCCCAGGACCCGAACCACAGATTCCAACGGCAGACTCTAACGGCACAAGTTCCTCACTGCACTACCGGTCAATCTCAACCCCACACTCGTCTTCCACCGTCGATACCAACCCACTAGATCTATCTCAACCTCCTGTAAGTCACGGCTACAACAACCCTGTTACGACGGAAAGTTTACCTCTTAACCTGTGTCAGAGACTAGGAGGAAGTCCTGTTGAATCATATCCGGGGAGTTATGTTGCTCCCCAGACCTCTCCTTCCTCCCATCATCTTATGACACCCCACTCGAACCACCTTCTAGCGCCCGCTCTTCCTTCCTCACCCCCGCAGAGATCTAATATTCTAAGAAGGAAGTCTGCCGATGTAGGTCACTCTGATTTCAAAAGAAATAAATCACGTAAGGTAGCGCCTCCTCCTCTAATCCCCATCCATACTCCGGAAAAGCCGGCAGCAAGCGTTGCAACCTCTTGTCATCCGCAACTACCGCCACCACCACCTCATCCACCCCCACTATTACCACCACTACCACTTCCCACACCACCTCAATTACCACCACAATCAACTCCCCAGCAACCAATACTACCACCTTTGCCTGCTTCCAGCATACCATCCTTCACTCACCATCTCTGCACTACTATCAACACACACACACACACGACACCTATCCAGGCCGTTCCTATAGTAGTCACTCCTATCCACACTAAAACCATCCCCACCCTCCCTACCCCACCCTCCAGCACCACTTCTCTCCCCGTCCGACCCAACCCAATCCCTCCACCGTGCTCCAAAGTCGAAAATCCTGACATCATCATAGAAACCGACCCATCGAAAGACAAACTCACTCTCCTCGGGAATCCGGTTCCTCTAGGAGCATCCTGCCTATCAGACCCTTACCTAGGCGCCCCCTCGCCCCTAGAAAGCATCAGGGAAAACATACAGAGATCCCTGATGTCCCTGATGCCAGGGGAACACGAGGCAGCCGGATTTAAGAGGAAGGTAGAAACTGCTCTTGTTGTCCTGGTCGGCGAGGCACCTATGAGGCAGCTTGGATACCCTGAGAAGACCGCTGAGCAGGTAAGAACTACACACAAGGGCTTTACATCCAAGTAAATGGAGCTACCCTCTCCCTTGGATCAAACCTAACTTCCTCCCTGTAAGTTCAGTGCTCCGTTAACGTTGGGCTTCAGAAATAATAATGAGAACAATAAAGTATTGTGATTTATTGTTCAGTTATACACAGTAATTAAATTATTATTATTATTATAATTATTATTATTCATATAAAGCGCTAATGCCGTAAGGGTCAAAGAGCACCTGGAAAATGGGAAGTAATCACATTTGATTCAAGGAAGGAAAGGCTAGCTCCAATTCCTTTGAGCAAGAGACCTATATATATGCAATCGCGAACGAGCAATTAAATATGCAAAATAACTACAGGGAGTTGAATGATAACTCAGGCCTTTCGTGTTGCAATAATCACAACAGGATGTGTTGATTGCAACACGAAGACCTAGAGCTACCATTTAACTCCTCTGGTGGATATCTTTGTGTGTGTGTGTGTGTGTGTGTGTGTGTGTGTGTGTGTGTGTGTGTGTGTGTGTGTGTGTGTGTGTGTGTGTGTGTGTGTGTGTGTGTGTATCAAAGTACCACGTAGAAACAGGCAGGTATGTACATATGAAGATCAAAACCACCAGGACTCTGTCCCACTACAGGGAGGCGGACGAGGCTCCTAAGTGATGCTCTTATCAAATCAGCCACAAATGCCACATAAGCTGGGCAGCCTGGTTCACAAGCCATGTTCCCAGCCCGGGCACATCAGTGAGCCTCTAGCATAGATTCAACCTATTTCAGTCTTCTCCTGTATGTTCTGACCTCACAAACTATTTTTTTTATCAGGAGACTGAAATTTCTTGAATTCATGCTTAAGGCTCACTGACGTGCCCGGGCTGGGAAGAAACATGGCTTGTGAAGGCTGCCCAGCTTTTGAGGCATTTGTGGCCGAGTGGATAAAAACGTCACTTGGGAACCTAGTCAGTCTCCTTGTAGTGGGACAGAGTCCTGCTGACTGCGATCTTTCTCTGTATGTGTGGGGAGGGGGACATAATTAAGGCTTGGATTTAAAATAATCTAAGACAGAATTAATATTCTTAGCTTGTAAATAATCTAAAGTAGAATAATTGTGCTTATCGTTAACCAGATTATTTACAAGCTAAAAGTTACCATAAGTCATATACAAGTTAACAGCTCTTACCCTGTAGATAATCTAAGTTATTGTAACAACTCTTAGTCTGCCAGTTAATGACGAGGGACCCATGCTAACCTCCCTATGGTGTATAAATATACAGTACCTTGTTGGACGACTTATATTTTATCAGAGGCGTAATAGAAAAATATTGACCTGTTCTCCAGAAGGTCATGAGCCTCAATATTCATAATGCACACGTGTACACTGAACACTGACTCCTTGTTCTTTCGTTCAACAGGTGCTGATCACCATCTTAGACATGGCTGGTAAGACTCCATGTGCGGACGTGCGTGTTGACGAACTTCAGAGGCTCAAGGTGAATATGCGCAAGTTCCTGGAATATGGCTTCCCCTCCAGGACGAGCTGGGAGGAACTGGGCTGGAACGGTAAATCCATCGAAAACATCATGGAAAACATCGTCTCCTGGATCTCCAGAAGACACACAGTCGATCTCAAGCTCTTTGGCGGAGGCCAGCTCATAGGAGAGGGTGGAGGAGGTGGAAGCGGCCTCCTAGCGGCTAATGGAGCAACTGGAATTGTCCCAGCTAGTGACACTGATGATTTTAAACATAATGGAACACCCCTGAAGGCGTCTTAATGATGATTTGAGGAATACTGGATCCTCTAGAAGGTATGAAGAGAGTCGAAGGTTACATCTTAGCCGTCGTCCTCCTGTGAATACTGTGTACAAATATTTATGGTATTTATTTGGATCTGTATAAACTATATGAACGATAGTTGTAGTTTTAATACCAGAGTTACCCCTGGATACAAGGAAAAAGTAGATCCAAATCTAACTCTGTTGATCTGTGATAAATTCTACACTTTTGCAACATCTGGATATATTTACCTGTAGACGTTTCGCCATCTAGTGGCTTTATCAGTACAGTACATGATCATAATAAAATTGTTTTAACACGCTGGCCGTCTCACACGAGGAAGGGTGACCCGAAATAGAAACACATTATTATTCACACTATAGCTTGACAAAAGCGTGGAAGATGAGGTAATCTGTCCCTAAGCCCAGGAGCAGATGCTGAGTGGAAGATGAGGTAATCTGTCCCTAAGCCCAGGAGAAGATGCTGAGTGGAAGATGAGGTAATCTGTCCCTAAGCCCAGGAGCAGATGCTGAGTGGAAGATGAGGTAATCTGTCCCTAAGCCCAGGAGCAGATGCTGAGTGGAAGATGAGGTAATCTGTCCCTAAGCAAAGGAGCAGATGCTGAGTGGAGATGAGGTAATCTGTCCCTAAGCCCAGGAGCAGATGCTGAGTGGAAGATGAGGTAATCTGTCCCTAAGCCCAGGAGCAGATGCTGAGTGGAAGATGAGGTAATCTGTCCCTAAGCAAAGGAGCAGATGCTGAGTGGAAGATGAGGTAATCTGTCCCTAAGCCAAGGAGCAGATGCTGAGTGGAAGATGAGGTAATCTGTCCCTAAGCCCAGGAGCAGATGCTGAATGGAAGATGAGGTAATCTGTCCACTAAGCAATGGAGGAGAGGATTCTACCAAGAGTGGAAGATGAGGTAATCTGTCCCTAAGCAAAGGAGCAGATGCTGAGTGGAAGATGAGGTAATCTGTCCCTAAGCAAAGGAGTAGATGCTGAGTGGAAGATGAGGTAATCTGTCCCTAAGCAAAGGAGAGATGCTGAGTGGAAGATGAGGTAATCTGTCCCTAAGCCAGGAGCAGATGCTGAGTGGAAGATGAGGTAATCTGTCCCTAAGCCCAGGAGCAGATGCTGAGTGGAGATAGTATCTCCCTAGCAGGAGCAGCTGATGGAAGATTGTAATCTCCCTAAGCCCAGGAGCAGATGCTGAGTGGAAGATGAGGTAATCTGTCCCTAAGCCCAGGAGCAGATGCTGAGTGGAAGATGAGGTAATCTGTCCCTAAGCAAAGGAGTAGATGCTGAGTGGAACATGAGGTAATCTGTCCCTAAGCAAAGGAGCAGATGCTGAGTGGAAGATGAGGTAATCTGTCCCTAAGCAAAGGAGCAGATCCTGAGTGGAAGATGAGGTAATCTGTCCCTAAGCAAAGGAGCAGATCCTGAGTGGAAGATGAGGTAATCTGTCCCTAAGCAAAGGAGCAGATGCTGAGTGGAAGATGAGGTAATCTGTCCCTAAGCAAAGGAGTAGATGCTGAGTGGAACATGAGGTAATCTGTCCCTAAGCAAAGGAGCAGATGCTGAGTGGAAGATGAGGTAATCTGTCCCTAAGCAAAGGAGCAGATGCTGAGTGGAAGATGAGGTAATCTGTCCCTAAGCAAAGGAGCAGATGCTGAGTGGAAGATGAGGTAATCTGTCCCTAAGCCCAGGAGCAGATGCTGAGTGGAAGAGGAGGTAATCTGTCCCTAAGCCCAGGAGCAGATGCTGAGTGGAAGAGGAGGTAATCTGTCCCTAAGCCCAGGAGCAGATGCTGAGTGGAAGATGAGGTAATCTGTCCCTAAGCCCAGGAGCAGATGCTGAGTGGAAGATGAGGTAATCTGTCCCTAAGCAAAGGAGCAGATGCTGAGTGGAAGATGAGGTAATCTGTCCCTAAGCAAAGGAGCAGATGCAGAGTGGAAGATGAGGTAATCTGTCCCTAAGCCCAGGAGCAGATGCTGAGTGGAAGATGAGGTAATCTGTCCCTAAGCCCAGGAGCAGATGCTGAGTGGAAGATGAGGTAATCTGTCCCTAAGCCCAGGAGCAGATGCTGAGTGGAAGATGAGGTAATCTGTCCCTAAGCAAAGGAGTAGATGCTGAGTGGAACATGAGGTAATCTGTCCCTAAGCAAAGGAGCAGATGCTGAGTGGAAGATGAGGTAATCTGTCCCTAAGCAAAGGAGCAGATCCTGAGTGGAAGATGAGGTAATCTGTCCCTAAGCCCAGGAGCAGATCCTGAGTGGAAGATGAGGTAATCTGTCCCTAAGCAAAGGAGCAGATGCTGAGTGGAAGATGAGGTAATCTGTCCCTAAGCAAAGGAGTAGATGCTGAGTGGAACATGAGGTAATCTGCCCCTAAGCAAAGGAGCAGATGCTGAGTGGAAGATGAGGTAATCTGTCCCTAAGCAAAGGAGCAGATGCTGAGTGGAAGATGAGGTAATCTGTCCCTAAGCAAAGGAGCAGATGCTGAGTGGAAGATGAGGTAATCTGTCCCTAAGCCCAGGAGCAGATGCTGAGTGGAAGAGGAGGTAATCTGTCCCTAAGCCCAGGAGCAGATGCTGAGTGGAAGAGGAGGTAATCTGTCCCTAAGCCCAGGAGCAGATGCTGAGTGGAAGATGAGGTAATCTGTCCCTAAGCCCAGGAGCAGATGCTGAGTGGAAGATGAGGTAATCTGTCCCTAAGCAAAGGAGCAGATGCTGAGTGGAAGATGAGGTAATCTGTCCCTAAGCAAAGGAGCAGATGCAGAGTGGAAGATGAGGTAATCTGTCCCTAAGCCCAGGAGCAGATGCTGAGTGGAAGATGAGGTAATCTGTCCCTAAGCCCAGGAGCAGATGCTGAGTGGAAGATGAGGTAATCTGTCCCTAAGCCCAGGAGCAGATGCTGAGTGGAAGATGAGGTAATCTGTCCCTAAGCAAAGGAGTAGATGCTGAGTGGAAGATGAGGTAATCTGTCCCTAAGCAAAGGAGTAGATGCTGAGTGGAACATGAGGTAATCTGTCCCTAAGCAAAGGAGTAGATGCTGAGTGGAACATGAGGTAATCTGTCCCTAAGCACAGGAGCAGATGCTGAGTGGAACATGAGGTAATCTGTCCCTAAGCACAGGAGCAGATGCTGAGTGGAAGATGAGGTAATCTGTCCCTAAGCAAAGGAGTAGATGCTGAGTGGAAGATGAGGTAATCTGTCCCTAAGCCCAGGAGCAGATGCTGAGTGGAAGATGAGGTAATCTGTCCCTAAGCCCAGGAGCAGATGCTGAGAGGAAGATGAGGTAATCTGTCCCTAAGCAAAGAAGCAGATGCTGAGTGGAAGATGAGGTAATCTGTCCCTAAGCAAAGGAGCAGATGCTGACTGGAAGATGAGGTAATCTGTCCCTAAGCCCAGGAGCAGATGCTGAGAGGAAGATGAGGTAATCTGTCCCTAAGCAAGGAGTAGATGCTGAGTGGAAGATGAGGTAATCTGTCCCTAAGCAAGGAGCAGATGCTGAGGGAAGATGAGGTAATCTGTCCCTAAGCCAAAGGAGCAGATGCTGAGTGGAAGATGAGGTAATCTGTCCCTAAGCAAAGGAGCAGATGCTGAGAGGAAGATGAGGTAATCTGTCCCTAAGCAAAGGAGTAGATGCTGAGTGGAAGATGAGGTAATCTGTCCCTAAGCCAAGGAGCAGATGCTGAGTGGAAGATGAGGTAATCTGTCCCTAAGCCCAGGAGCAGATGCTGAGTGGAAGATGAGGTAATCTGTCCCTAAGCCCAGGAGCAGATGCTGAGTGGAAGATGAGGTAATCTGTCCCTAAGCCCAGGAGCAGATGCTGAGTGGAAGATGAGGTAATCTGTCCCTAAGCCCAGGAGCAGATGCTGAGTGGAAGATGAGGTAATCTGTCCCTAAGCCCAGGAGCAGATGCTGAGTGGAAGATGAGGTAATCTGTCCCTAAGCCCAGGAGCAGATGCTGACCACCTTAGTCTTGAAGACTCTGAAGCACAGACAGGAAGATTGACGCTTATATACTGTAGTCTGGTGAGGGACGGTTAGCCTTCTCATACAATGTTTCGCTCTCACAGAGTGAAACGTTGTCCCATTAAAAACCTCTTGTCCAACCTGTGCATTGCTTGCACTTCCAAAACTCCGTTAAATTAGTGTTCAGTAACTGGAAAATGGGTCATCTGATCGGGTTCAAACTTTCAATGCTGGTGAATCTTACTCAAATGAAAGCTTAGATTTGTTTTGAGTTGTTTAAATAAAGAAAATGAAATATTTGAATCCTTACTTCGTTCATTTTTATTTTTGGATGGCTCATCCGATCGGCTTCAAACCTCTAAATCCGATAACTGAAAATGCAGATTCCCATCGGCGGCAAACTTGGGTATATAAACTAGCATACACACCCCTCAGGGTATATACACTGAGATACACACCTCTCAGGGTATATACTGACATACACTCCACTCGGGGTATATACATTGGTATACACTGCTCTCGGGATATATACATTAGTATACAGTCCTCTCGGGGTATATACATTGGTATACACTCCTCTCAGGATATATACATTAGTATACAGTCCTCTCGGAGTATATACATTGGTATACACTCCTCTCGGGATATATACATTAGTATACAGTCCTCTCGGGGTATATACATTGGTATACACTCCTCTCAGGATATATACATTAGTATACAGTCCTCTCGGAGTATATACATTGGTATACACTCCTCTCAGGATATATACATTAGTATACAGTCCTCTCGGAGTATATACATTGGTATACACTCCTCTCGGGATATATACATTAGTATACAGTCCTCTCGGGGTATATACATTGGTATACACTCCTCTCGGTGTGTATATACTGCTTTACGCTCTTAGTATCTTATCTATTTAGATCAACCAGCTCAGTCAACCAGCCCAGTCAACCAGCTCAGTCAACCAGCCCAGTCAACCAGCTCAGTCAACCAGCTCAGTCAACCAGCCCAGTCAACCAGCTCAGTCAACCAGCCCAGTCAACCAGCTCAGTCAACCAGCCCAGTCAACCAGCCCAGTCAACCAGCCCAGTCAACCAGCTCAGTCAACCAGCTCAGTCAACCAGCTCAGTCAAC